CGAATTTCGTTGAAAAGCAAGTTAACGTCATCGATCGTATGCAATTTATAGAATTAGATTCAAAAGTAGAAATAAAAGATCACAGTATACTAACTAGAAAATCATGTCTAATGGGAAATAACGGGAAAAACGAAAGTGGTTATAGATACATCACATCTGAACTAGAAAGATTCAAGAAATTCATGAAAATGCCTATAACCCAAGTAATGTAATAATACGAATAAATAATTTGATCAGGATATTAATTATGACATTTTAAAGCTGGTCAGTGGTGTGTATTGGTCAACTATAATCATGGAGAATTGAGAACGATTACCCTAACTATCTCATTTCAACTGTCATCCTATTATTTAAAAAGTGCTATACAGATTCATGACTTTCGCCTATAGTAAATAATTACCAGTCCACGAAGCCGATATCCGTTGAAGAAAACACCCATCTAATTTGAAGGCGCTTAGCATTTTCTTCTATGTACCGTTAACTGAATGTACAAATGATGTTCACAAAACTATCAATAAGTGATTGGAAGTGTAGTGTTTCAATTATGAAGTTCTAATTTCTGTGAAATCGTTGAAATCACATACACATTAAATAAGTATTTAAAATTTATAATCATATATTAACAATACCCTACACAACTATTCAGTTGTATAATGCATATATAACAGAATATCAAATAAGTTGAAAAGGAAATCAAATATCCCCGATGCTGTGATAATAGTTTTATTGATATAGTGAAGATTTATAATTTAAGTGAATGATTTCGGTGAAATTTTATTCACTGAGTTGGATGGTTCGGTTGTGGAGATTTCATTGTTCTTCTGAACAACATCATCAACACAAACTTCGGATAGAAGAATAGAAAAGAACAATGAAAGCTTCACGATTCAACTATTAAGTACAGAGAACGAAACTTCACCAAAAAGTGTTTTATTAATTTTCTAGTTTTAAAAGTACACATAATGAATTACAGAACGACGAACTCAGCAACAAAACACAATAATGCATATAATCAACCCACTATGTTACTGTTAATTTATATAAAAGGTAGAAAACTGAGGAAAGAACTGAATTTCTTACAAAATAACCCGTACACACACGCCTACATAGATGATAAAGAAGAATTCGTTCAGACCTATCAACAAATGGGAAATCGCATAAATGTAAACATAAAAGTGAAACGAAAATGTTTTCGTTCTAGATGAAACTTCTAGTTCATCAAAAAAAATGTATTGAAGCCAAATTATAAGGTTTAATAATAAAGTGTAATAAACTCTAGCGATTAGATACAGTTAACTTGACTTGTATTTGAAGACTGAAAAGTATATTTGCCAAGATACAAGAGAAGACCACTAATTGAGACCCAGGAATACTTTAGTTTTAGAAGAATTAGTGACCACTCTATTTTACAAGTTGATTGAAGTTCCAAACATGGATCAATGTATTCCAACCGAGTAGCTTGAAGATAATGTACTAGCTAGAATTCTTGAAAATTCTGATTTGAATCGCAAATACAGTTATTCGTGTACATTGAAGATTATTTCAAAACAAAAACGGGCGGTTAATTAATTCTACTAGATTACCTTATTCATATCAATTCGTGATAAGATTCGCTTGTAAATATTCATAACCCTGTCTTACTAATTGACAGTTTAATAATTATAATATGATTATAACAATAAGTACTGATAACATTCAAATAATACCGATTAGTTATTGTTAAGAGAAGGAGTAATTCTTTACCTAAATACCGTTAACTAATAACATGTAACATGAACTCAATTAAAGTGCAGTGAGCTTATCTTTCAAAGAACAGTTATAGCACGTTTTATGTCATAATAACTGACGACTTAATATTAAGTATGGAAATGGTGAAGGGCAACGACAAAATGTTAGAATAGAGGGGAGTCAATAAAAATACTGAGAATTATTCATTTAGATAAATATTTCAAATAGGATTATGATTTACTTAACCATGGTACATCATTACGGAAAAGGAATTCCACTTAAGATTAACTAAAACACGGTAGGATTGTCAACTCATCTAATATCTTTGTTGTCACTGGTATTATTATTAGTGGTAGTAGTGGCAGCAGTAGTAATAGCGCTATCGCTTGTGTAAGGGTACAAAACATACATTGTGGTTATCAGATGGTTATTCATCATATAATCGATAATTAGAAAAACCAGAAACAATAATAAGGAATGAAAGTAAACTCCTTAACTGGTATACACACCCTGCAAAATAATTATGTTATTAATGTTTCCAGTATCAATAAACAATGTGAATTTATTGATAAAAAGTTTAGTATGAAACTACATATCACAGATTAATAGCTATCTGTGACGAAAATTATTTATCTATTCTGAAATTATATACAGATTTAAATTTACAAACTTAAACAGCATTATTATTTCCTGATTCGATATGGTTTGATATTGAGTAAGTGGGTGTATATTGTTAAAGATTCTCCAGAAAATAAGATGAAACAATTATATGACGCACTTGTTGATCTTCAATACTAATTAAACTGAAGTCAACTTGCGAAGAAAATAACTTAGAAAATTTAATCGGAATCTTTTCAAAAGTCACTAGAATTTGAAATAAAGTATATACTTTTCACATTACGACGTGGAGAATATGAATAAGAAGAGTAATAGTAGAATCAATTAATTAAAAAAAACATGTACATATCAGATTCGAATTCCCCACACTTAACATTAAGATTACGGAAAACAAATTGACAGAATATTATTAGATAATTGTACGTAAATAAATTTTATCCTTTTGAATAAAATGTAAATAGATTAGATTTCGGAATACAAATATAAATATGTTTCACGATTAATTTGATTGTCTAATTTTACTGAATGTTATCCTTTTCTACAGTATACATTATTCATTCTAAATAGAAACATTCTAATGCATATTTTTTCTTCTAAATGTCAGAATATAGTCAGTGTTAAAATAATAATGGAAACTTCTAGTCTGTAGTGTTGATAAGATTATCATTATAAAATATGCAATTTATACAAGAATTTCATATGATGAATAAGAACACCAAAAAGACATAGATACATAAACATATAGATACAAACAATAAATTACCACAAAAAAATAGATGAAATAATATGACTTAGTCATCAAGTACAAATGTTCATGTGCTTTAAAGACGTCATGCCTTCAGTATACGAGATACCATTATGTTATACAAACAAAATTAGTAACGGATGATTGGATCTGAAATCATTGACCTATAGCTACATAAAAATGAAATTCTAATATTTATAATAAAGAAATCACCACAAGGAAGACTAAAAACAACACCCTTACTTAATCCGATACGAAATATACAATCATTTTAACCAAACACTTATTTAAATAGTGAATTATATTTGTTCAGTAGTGAAGGAGTTTGGAGATAGAGTAATCAGTTGAAGTTTTAACCGATAAGTTCGGATTAACATCGTAAATTATCTTTGAACAGTTGGTATTGTTGCGCTACATCACAAAATGATTAAAGTTTGAGATGAAAACCATTTTTATTTTGACTCAATAATTTAAAGGATATTATAATTCTGAAATTATTAGGTACGAGTCTATATTAAGTTAATGGGTATAGTAAGTGATGAGAAGTCATTTAGTAACGACATCATAGCTATCACTATAATATGTATGAGGTTATTTTCCAAATTAAAAGTTCTACTAATACAAGCTGAAATGATATACGTTTATGAATTGTGTGATACCATCACAAGTTAGGTAAACATAATAAAAATATAAATCATTTATTCAAATAAATACAGCAAAAATAAATAAAAGCCTTCTTTAACATTTAATCGTAAACAACTTACCCCATTTCTTAAAATATAATGCTCCAAAGTACGTGAATTATCTAACCACAAGCCTTTCTTATTATCTTCATGTGGTAGAAATAAACCATAGTCTTTAGCTAGTTAATAATAACAGAAATAACATCAAACAGAATAGTGAGCAAAAAGAATATGACGCTGACATCGATTACTGTTATTATTATTATTATCGTGAATAATACAAATACTGATATACAAAAAGCGATAAAACAGAAATAGTGAGATATTTGTTATTTTCAAAATATCTGAGAAATTACTCACAATACCTCCTATACAGGTATAGGATGGCAGGTGATATTACTACAATGCGGTTCTTTTTTGTATGGTGATAATTAGATAGATATTCATTAATGTTTATCATTAAGAGGAATTTTTTAAACTAAACATAAGAACAGTTAGAAATAATAATTTGTTAAAGAATACAGATGAAATACTTAGCAATCAATCGTGTCTAATATACAACAATACATTGATAAATTCTAACAAGATTTCTAGATTACCGTTAATCTGTAACTCTTGAACATTCAAAGAAATAAGACAGAAATTGTGTTTTTCAGGTTGTTATAAACATGGAAATCAACCGAGAATATAGAAGTTCTTGTAGGATTTAAAAAATCAGTCAAAATTAGTAATATTTTCAGCATTTAACTAGCTGAATAGTAAGTCAGAAAATAAATACATTGACTTCTATAATCTGCTGCTGAAATGATCAAAAGCATACATTAACTACAAGTATTTACGTTATTTTAGACTTTCATAAACTTTCGAAGAAGAATTATCAATAATTGACATCTGTTAACTTTACTTAAGAAAACTATTAGCGTTTATATGATCATTACAACTGAATACATTCATTATTTGTTTAAATACACCAAATCGTAAATATTTTTCTCATACAATAGGAAGGTACACACACACAAAATATAAAAACAAGTATACACATAATAGAGAAATGTTTAGTACATCGACAACAAAGTATGATAACTATAATCATCCTCTTAACCAACAAAATATGACATTTATTTCCTATATTCTTTTATAGCAATGTGTAACATTAGATTATAATGTAAAGAAGTAATACCATAAGCAGATGGATTTATCGATCTGCTTTTTTCTTTTCTTTATTTCACATTATTTATCACAAAAATGAATTAAGCTGGTTTGGTTGGCGTTTGTGTTGTCGATAGTGTTTTGTCTAGAAAAGATATCAGATTTAGGACTGAATTAACCAGCTCAGAGAATGTAACACAACATGAAACACTTGCACTCTCTTGATTTACAAACTTTTTCTTTGATTATCTTATAATCACATGATCTTTTGTTATACTGACAAAAAATCCAAGTCAAAGATATAAGGAATTTTTAATGAATGCATGAGTTAATAGTTGATAGACTAAACACTCATTATTTGTATAACACCACAAAATATACTCAAAAAGTCACCATTGAGATATTAGTAACTAACTTCGAGAGACAATTATCACAATTACAGTGAGAAGCCGTATAACTAGTCGAGTTTAATCATGTCAGGAGTGAGATACACGTCACCGACGGCAACCGATAATGGCCGCACAATATCCACGCCAACAATCAACAACAATAATAAGGGTAAGAAAATGTATAATACATTTAATACCTAACAGACTGTCTACTACTTTGACTAGGCAAACTACCAATCATTATATTCCTCGCCCACACATCAGTATACCATCATTTATATCTAAAAATATTGAAGTGAAAGTATCTAAATCATTGTTTAATTAAATCACAGGGTTGTTTCACTAAATTAGCTAGACATAGGTATATCCGACTCCGTATTCCAAAAATATATTGTAAAAAATGTAACGATAAACCTGTGAAAGGATGATATCATTACTATAATTCAGGTTTTAGATACTGGGATTTTTATGGGACTGTCTACAAAATATTTGGAGTGGATCACTTTCAAAATTTTGTCTAATGTAAACGTAAAAATCAATGAAAAACTTGGGAAGTCAATCATGGATTTACGCAATTTTCACTAATCTTAAAGTCTTGATAGTAACAATAATCACGAGTGCCTGGAGTCCCTTTCGGGGGGCTACTGCCGGTCCCAAGCCCGGATAAAGGAGGAGGGTTGGGCATGAGGTTAGCGACCCCGTTCCGTAGAAAACTAACTTGTTAAAAGAAACGCTAACCAGAAAACATTATTCAAACCATTTAGACTCTGCCCTGGGAGTCAGAAGGTCTTCGTTTAGAATAATTATGACGCCTCATGATGAAAGTCGAGTTCCTTCGGAAGTCACGAGGCCGATGCCACTTCTGTCAACCAGAGCAACCATTTTTTAGGTACATCGAATGCTCGTACAATGTGGGAGACTGGAACAGTTTTCCAAATTGCTGCAGAAATGAGGGGGTACAAACTAGAGGTGCTTGGGACCAGTGAAACACATTGGACGCAAGTTGAACAACGACAACTAGCTTCAGGTGAGCTGCTGTTATACTCCAGATATGAACAAGAAAATGCCCCACATACACAAGGAGTTGCATTGATGCTGTCCAAACAAGCACAAAATGCACTTATAGGATGGGAATCTCATGAACCCAGGACCATCAAAGCCTTCTTCAAAACAAAGAAAGAGGGCATTTCAATAAACGTCATCCAATGCTACGCGCCTACCAACGACTACAATGAAAACGCTAAAGATCAATTCTACGATAGGCTACAGTCAATCGTCGAGAAGTGCACAACAAAAGACCTGACTATTCTGATGGGAGATTTAAATGCCAAGGTTGGAATTGACAACACCGGATATGAAGAGATCATGGGACGACACGGACTCGGAGAAAGGAACGAAAATGGTGAGAGATTTGCAAATCTATGTGTCTTCAATAAACTGATCATAAGCAGTACTATATTCCCACATAAACGCATACACAAAACCACATGGACTTCACCGGATCACACCACACAGAACCAAATCGACCATATCTGCATCAACAAAAAGTTCAGGAGGACGATGGAGGACGTGAGAACAAAGAGGGGAGCTGATATAGCATCAGATCATCACTTGCTGGTCACCAAGATGAAATTGAAACTCAGGAGGCACTGGACAACGGGGGGGACAATATCACAAAAGTTTAATACGTCTCTTCTTCGGGATAATGACAAACTCAACAAACTCAAGATAACACTCATCAATAAATTCCAGGCCTTTCATGATCTACTCAATGGAGAAGGAACTACTATGGAGAGCAACTGGAAAGGGATGAAAGGGGCAATCACTTCAACATGTCATGAGGTTCTGGGCCAAAAGAAGCACCATCACATGGATTGGATCACGGTTGATTCACTGGATAAGATTCAAAAAAGGAGGAACAAGAAGACAGCAATCAATACCAGCAGAACAAGAGCAGAAAAAGCCAAGGCACAGGCTGAATACACAGAAGTAAACAAGCAAGTGAAAAGGAGCATCAGAACTGACAAACGTAAATATGTGGAGGATTTAGCAATGACGGCGGAAAAGGCTGCCAGAGAAGGAAACATGAGACCACTGTATTACACAACAAAGAAAATCTCTGGAAATCACCGCAAACCAGAACGACCAGTGGAAAGCAAGGAAGGCAAGGTAATCACCAACATTGAAGAACAACGAAACAGGTGGGTAGAACACTTCAAACAACTCTTGAATCGTCCAGCCCCACTGAACCCACCAAATCGCAATTCTACTTATCGTTGTGGAACAATCAATTGAATGGAATTCATCACTCTATATCAACTTCATTGACTACGAAAAAGCATTTGATAGCGTGGACAGAACAACCCTATGGAAGCGTCTTCGACACTACGGCGTACATGAGAAGATAGTCAATATCATAAGGAACTGGCACGGTGGATTAAACAGTAAAATCGTTCGTGGAGGACAGTTGACAAACTCCTTCGAAGTAAAGACCGTTGTCAGGCAAGGTTGCTTACTCTCACCCTTTCTCTTTCTCCTGGTGATCGACTAGATCATGAAGACGTCAACATTTGCGGGAAGCATGGGATACAATGGACAGCTAGGATGCAGCTGGACGATCTAGACTTCGCAGATGATCTGGCTCTTCTATCGCATACGCAACAACAAATGCAGGAGAAGAAGACCAGTGTAGCAGCAGCCTCAACAGCAAAAGGTCTCAATATAAACAAAGGGAAAAGGAAGATTTTCCGATACAACACAGCATGCAACAATCCAATCACAATTGACGGAGAAGATGTGGAAGATGTACAAACCTTTACATATTTGGGCAGTATCATCGATGAACACGGTGGGTCTGATGCAAATATGAAGGCAAAGATCGGAAAAGCAAGAGCAGCATATTTACAACTGAAGAACATCTGGAACTCAAAACAATTGGCAACCAAAACCAAAGTCAGAATTTTCAATACAAATGTCAAGACAGTTCTACTGTATGGGGCAAAAACTTGAAGAACCACGAAAGCCATCATCCAGAACATACAGATGTTTATTAACAGTTGTCTATGCAAAATACTTCGGATCCGTTGGCCGGACACTATGAACAACAACCCTCTGTGAGAGAGAACAAATCAGATCCCAGTGGAGGAAGAAATCAGGAAGAAGTGCTGGAAGTGGATAGGACACACATTGAGGAAAGCACCGAACTGCGTCGCAAGACAAGCCCTCACATGGAATCCTGAAGGCCGAAGGAGGAGAGGAAGACCAAATTACACATTACGCCGAGAAATGGAGATAGACATGAGAAAAATGAACAATAATTGGATGGAACTAGAAAAGAAGGCCCAGGACAGAGTGGGTTGGAGAATGCTGGTCGGCGGCCTATGCTCCATCGGGAGTAACAGGCGTAAGTAAGTAAGCTTTTTTCTATTTAATTCTTTTGCGTCGGCTTTGCACTTTTTTAATCAGCTGTCATTATTTTGGGTCCACGAATTATCTGTACGCTCGAAAGTGATCCTTTTACTACTATACATACTGAGTTATACGATTTCAAGCTATTCTGCTCCAATATCACGTTTTTCTTGCACTCCAACTGCTAGAGACTAGTTTTTGAAGTCCTGTGTGGCAGTTGCACTTATTGAGTCCGCAATAGGACTGTTCTTATTAGAGTAGTTTAATCGTCCCTTAAATCGCAAGTATGGTAGGCTAACTGAAAACCCCAATACATTTTCTTGTAACAAAACTGAACCACTACATCATCGAATTGACTGTGTTCATGTTTCTTTATTTGTGTTTTACAGAGATGATAAATTCCGTATTTATCTACAACCACTAGTGTGTGTGTGTGTACAGCACCACATTTATGGGATAAAACTGAGACAGTAGAATGTAAAAACATGGTTAAATGCAGGAATTTTTATTTACCTAAAGTTTTTATTTTTAAATGAAAGTACCAATAACTTAGTGTGAGAGAGTGACAGATTAAAAAGTGATAGTATGCATGAAAATAACATCTGTTCACAAGTATATATATATATATATATATATATATATATATATATATATATATATATATATATATAACTACCACTACAGAATACTGAGACAAACAAGAAAATATGTAGCTGGATATCAGGTCAAAACTGACAATTGTTTTCAATGTATTTTCGTGAATCCTTTATAATATACATAGATATTTCAGATACAAATCAGACATGTTCAAACGTATCTTGATTATTATAGTTAAGATGATACTAATAGTTTGAACTACACAAGTCAATCGATAGCATGCAATATATGGTATTATATACATACGCATAGAATAGCAAGTATAAGACAGGTTAATATGTATGCTGTATGTAATAATAATAATAATAATAATAATAATAATAATAATAATAATAATAATAATAATAATAATAGTAATAATAATGATAAATATGATAAATATCTGTATGCTGGAAAATACTGTCGGCTGACACAAAGATTGCACGTCACAAAGAACTGAATTACTCTGTGGATGCCACTTTGTGCATGAATGAAAGTCAAAGATTTTTTTCTTACAAGATCCCCACTCAAGTAAAAACAAACTTGGGGTTATCTGCAATACTTTATCTTTCAGTGTATTGTATCCAACACTTTCTTCCATCTTCCCATTCATTTAGTGGACGAATGATGGACATTTGAAGTTTAATCTTTATCAAGGATTTCATTTGAAACCTTAACTTTCATTACATAAATTTATGCCTTTCATTGTCCATGTTGGATTGCACTCCACTGAACAGTTTCATATCAGGCAAATCCAGATAACTCCAACCACTTAAAAAAATCTTTATTGAAAGTTATACTTAAATATCCAGCATTCACTATTAGATGAATGGAAAAAATGATCGAAAGTACTGGTTACAATACACTGAGTGAACATTAGAAACACTGAGAATAAATTCAACTAATAGAAGTGTATGGAAGTTTTTCAAATGTTTTGTTGTACAGTATATACACCTTTGGTGCATATCGTTCCGGAAATAACAAGCAGATGAACAATGTAGAGATCTAGTAGAGACTCGTGCTGTCACATTTTAAAAAAGTATGCATAAAGAAAATGAACAAAAGTCAAATGATGATGAAATAAAGGAAATTAATTGAAAAGATAATTCTGGGTCACTGCGTTTGGATTATTCAAAAGTCTCTAACAATAAAATATAGACCTCTGTATATGACTAGAGAAAATAATCAATGAGTGAATGGAGTAGAAGCATATTTTAATTTTTACCCTTTAAATTCAATAGTTCAATTTCCTATGAACAACATTTGTAATTAAATATAAAAGGATGAATTCAAAAAATCCTACTGAATATTTGATTTAGTACACAAGATTTTTCATAGTTTTTTTACATCTTGTTCGTTAGGAATACTAATAATCGATAAATGCTAGTTAAATATTTGTCTGATATGGCAAGCAACAATTAAACGTAATAAGCAGACCTTAATTTCACGGGTCAATGAATGACCTAAAAACCAGTTATATCTCATAATCATTATTGCTTTAAGTGATAGTTTAGTTATTCAAATATTCTGTAATTAAGCGTTATTTCGTCATACCAAATGACTCCATAATAGCTAGTTGCTGTGTATTTTTATATTCATTTAGTAGGGCTTTGTACGAATAATTTGATTTTCGCTAGACTCTATATCGCCATTTCAGCTGTTCAGTCATGATCAGCGTAGGGCTTGTTATGAGTGTGCGTTAGCCCAGATCGCCATACTACAACCTCATGACGAGGTGAAATTAAGAAAGATAAAGAGCAAGAGTTGAAATAATAATAATAATAAATACTAAACATTGAAGATATGGTTCAACAAGATGAAACAAATAGGTATACATGAAGGAATATTGGGACTGAAAAGATCTAGAGAAAGAGTAAATGCAACCGATTCTTAATCAAATCATTCACGTCATATACAATTTAGGTCACAATAATTTAGGTGCATGATAGCATAATCTACGTCCATACAAAACTACTTTATACCATAGTAACCCCAATAATCGATAATAAACAAAATATCTACCTGGCATCTCCCTTTCACTCCTAATAGTATTTTACTATTAAATACTTTTTAAGAAAAATGGCTTATTTTGATGATATTACGATTATCTAATCATGTTAACTGATAGTTGAAGATAATCACCAGAATGTTTTGTGAGTACTTTTCCAGTACATTCACGGCTTTCTTGTTTATCGATTTAAATGCATAAAAATAATTATTATAGTACAATAATGTTATACTGACACAATATATAGTGATGTGTTGTAGGCTAGAGCCAGCTTTCATTAATTTTTCTTTGAATACAAAAACTCCAATAGTTATGATAAAAACTCTTAAATATTCACGTAAATTTTTTCAGAATTCCTAAAGCTATAGAAATTGATATTGATTCACTTGTACTTTCAGTGGAGTAGTCTCACTATTTTCTGTAGAGTGACCACTTATCTGCGTAGTAAAAATAAAATGACTCAATTATAACTGTTTTCTCCAACATGAAGAGGAAAACCAACTTTAACTTAGTCATTAAATAAATTGAGGTTCTATTCTCATCCTTTTTCGTCGTTTTATATCTTTTGTTAATAAATAACAATGGTCTTGGTGAATTTCTCCTCAATAATTGGTTAAATAACATTCTTTTATTGAGATCCTGAACCAATCAATTTTAGACCACTATTAAAAACCTGGGAGCACTATAAGGCCATTTCGTCGCAGTATGGGACTCAGCAGTGCGCATCCACGATCCCGCACTCGAGACTCGAACCGAGGACCTTCGGTCCCCAAAAAACTAAACAATCTCCACAACCTTATACTGATAATTATCATGTGCTCACTAATGACCAGCTTTGAGAAGTACTTCTCGGAGTTCTAGTGAGAAGCCGTGGTCAGTGGACTTCAAACGTCTCGAAGGTTAGATAGTTACTGGCTAGACCATAATTTGTGCACGACCTTTGAACGAATCTTGACTTACCTTGGGGAATTTCGGTCAATCAGGGGACAGTAGGTATAGAGTAAAAATATATTATACAAAATCAAAAGCTTATCGTGGATACACTTCTTTAACATGATTTGAAAACCTTTCAAGGATAGAAAGACGCTCTGCAGTTTTGAAATCAAATTGCATACGATACAGGAACTCAGCCATGTTGTCCTATTATAGTCGACCTCTGGAGCCAAGATAAAGTCGTGAGAATTCTTTTAGCGTCGGCCACATTGCTTTCATATTATTTGTGTGTACTCCAGTAATGTGGTCTACAAAACACCGCTTAAGGACGACGACACGGTGCAAGTAACTAAGTATATGTAAGCATCGATACACTCTCCAGTCATCTGTATATTGTGGTCCCCGGCTGCACATACTCTCGTATAATTGGTATTATAGTCGTAGTTTGTCGGTTTCTAACGCGTTGGAAGTGTCTTTTTTAAGATGATCTATCGTATATACCAAGGACCTCTTTAGTATACTGATGGAAGTGTTACTTACCAAGTCTTCTTCACCACTTCGTCCTCTATTGAATTTTCGTTTTCTAACAACAGTTTCATCTATTTCTACGATTCTCCCAACTCCTCCATACGGCTCACGCAACCTTGTCATTTTTATTGCACACATATCTCTGCAATACTCATACCATTGAACTGCCGAAGATTCAGTAACATTTGCAAAGTTTTCAGCCAGTGTTACTGATGCCTTTATTATCCAGTTTGAAACATTTATCATAATGTCTTAGTCTCAATCAGGATCGAGCGAAAAAGGTTCTCGTTCTAGCAGATGTTTTCCTTCAACATAATATTACATCGATATACAACATTATTACGATAGTCTGCACAAAGTCCAGGAGTCATTTGATCACCACAGCCACAAATAAATGAACTTCTTAGTAATCCCACTTGTTGTGGCCGCTCAATTATAACGTCTTCAAAATCCGCTGTAAACCAATCGTACGTGAGCAGGTGCCGTAGCCTTGAGATCGCCCAAGCGCTTCTGATTGGCTCGCCCATAAATTATAGTCTCGCCCAGTTACTCACCGACGACAATGGAGGATGGTCGCTCAATATCGTGGGCTGATTGAAGCT